TCTTCCTTCTGAGGAGTGGCTGGTGGGTTTGAACCTCCAGCCTTCTGGTTACCAGTCAAGTGCCTTAGCCACTATGCTACCAGAGCTCCCATTTTATAGAAGCAGATATAAATAATTCCATTTTAATAGAATATGTAATTGCTTATCTAGAGGTCAAGTCCCAGGTACTGTGGGATCATACAGTATGGCTCACATAATTCTGGGTAGGGAAAAAGGATGAACTAAGAGAATGTTCTAAGGCAAGGTTGAATAGACATTTTTCAGAAAGAGGAGAAAGAACAGGACATTCCAGGTTGAGGGAAGAGTAAGTGTAAGGATGTGGATAGAGAAAGAATATGTGCTTTAGAAAAGTGATTGCAAGAGTTTACACTGATGATTAGTAGCAAGAGCTAGATCATAATAGCCTTGAATGTTGTGTATGGATATATGATAATCTTGACTGCTAACCAGAAGGCTGGCTGTTCAAACCCACCAGCCACTCCTCAGAAGGAAGGTTGGGCAATCTACTTCCATAGTGATACAGCCTCGGAAACCCAAGGAGGGGTCGCTATGAGTCGGGGCAGACTCGATGGCACATAACAACAATGTTCACTATTGATCAACAGCTCAACAGATTATATCTATCTAGAAATTTCTTTGGGAGCTCTGGTGGCATGGTGCCTAAGGCACTTGACTGCTAACCAGAAGGCTGGTGGTTCAAACCCACCAGCCACTCCTTGGAAGGAAGGTTGGGCAGTTTACTTCTGTAGTGATACCTCCTCAGACACCCAAGGCAGGGTCGCTATGAGTTGGGTCCGACTGGACAGCACATAACAGCAACAGAAATTTCTTTACCAACTTTTTCAGTTTACGGTATTGGTGTTGATTATTAGAGCCATTTAGTACTTAAAACATGGAGTATTTGATTTTAATGATGTGTTACATTGTCTGCAGATTAATATTTGTTCACAAGATTAATTTTTAATACCATGCTTTTATATGTTTGGGGCACTTAAAAAAGGACTAAATTATGATTTTTGATCAACACTTGGAAAGTAGCAACATTATATAATGGCTCTTGAGTCAGATTTTTTGACAAGTTCTAAACATTTTTAAGTTTCCATTTCCTTAGCTGTAAAATTAGGATAATAGTTGTGCCTATCTTATAGGGCTGTTGTGTAATTTAAATTTGATCATTCATTTAAGGTACTTAGCATAAGGCTTGGCACATACATCACTCAGTATTAGCTATTATTTTTATTTTGAAGAGAGATAAACTAGCAAGGTATGAACTAAAAAGGATGTATTGAAGGCCTAAATCACAGCCTTGGAAAAAGCTTGAAAGACAATAGAACTATAATAGAGAAACAATGAAGGTTTATCTCTAAAAACTACATGACAGGGAATGGGAGCGTACTGCAGTTTGGAAGATTATGAGAGATATTTAGGAGTTGGGTGGCACAAATGATTAATGTGCTTGGGTGTTAACTAAAAAGTTGGAGGTGCCAGTCCACCCAGAGACACCTTGAAAGAAAGGCCTTGGCATAAAAAGTCAGCTATTGAACACCTGTGGAGCCCAGTTCTACTCTGATACACAGGGAGTTGCCATGAGTTGGAGTCCACTTGATGGAAACTGGTTTAGGGGTCCCTGGGTGATGCAAATGGTTAAGCACTTAGCAGCTAACTAAAAGTTTGGTGGGTCAAGTCTACCCAGAGGCCCTTCAGCTGAAAGACCTAGTGATCTGCTTCTGAAAAATCTGCCATTGAAAGCCCTATGGAGCACAGCTCTACTCTGACACACGTGGGGTCACCTTGAGTCAGAATCAACTCAAAGCCAATGGGTTTTGAGAGGCTTTTGGAAATTGAGTGAGGAAGAAGTAGATTTTTAAGACTAGTTGATTAAGATAACATTTATGCTAAGACAGAGCATTGACCTGGGTTACAAACAAGATCCATTCCTGTGTCTTTGAGTGAAATTTGTAGGTAAGTAGCAACAGATGCATATGGTTCTTACTTAGTCTTTAGTGTAGGAAAAGAAACCTGGAGGCATGTGGTTAAAGCACTCAGCTGTGGACTTATCAGCGTGGTTGAACCCCACTAGCTGCTCTGTGGGAGAAAGATGTGGCTATCTGCTTCCATAAAAATTTACAGCCTTGGAAACCCTATGGGGCAATTCTATTCTTTCCTCTAGGGTTGCCATGAGTTGGAATTGTCTCCATAGCAGTGGGTTTTTAGTTAGTGCAAGAAAAGACTTGAAACCTTTTCAATGATTTAAAAGCTTCATGTGTAGCAAGTGAAGGTGATTATGTGAAGAATTCATTGCCAATAGGGGTTGATTCACTTGTTTCAGAGTAAGGGCAAATTAACATAATATTAAGGACAAGTAGGAGTTGTGCCTAAGTTGAATATATATAACCCAGGAGCAGCTTGGCCTTTTTTTCAAAGTGGTGGTTTCTTTAAATTTAGGTAAAACTTGATAATGTATCACATTAGCCACCAGATGGCAGTGTATGAATTAATGTAAGTAACGTTTCACCATTGATTTTTAGATCTGATATGTAGGTATCATGTGCAAGGGAAATGTGAGTTATTGAATTCCTTGGAAAAGATGATACACTAAATTTTTCTTAGATAGTATATAGCTGGAATGCTAATGTATTATTAACTTTTGAGGAGCTCTGGTGACATAGTGCCTAAGGCATTTGACTGCTAACCAGAAGGCTGGTGGTTCAAACCTACCAGCCACTCCTTGGAAGAAAGATGAGGCAATCTACTTCTTAGAGATACTGCTTCGGGAACCCAAGGAGAGGTTGCTATGAGTTGAAATCGACTTCATGGCAGTGAGTTTGGTTTTTTGGTTAATAAATCAAGTACAAATATTTCATTAAAAATAAATTTATTATAAAATGGAAATAAAAAAAATTGTTAATTTCTTCTTTCCTTTGGTAAACTTTACAAATATAAATTATTTAAGCATATGCTCGTATGTACCATGCTGTTTTTTTTTCATTCTTTATATTTGTTCCGTTAGTGAGAGAGGATTCTACTATTTTATCTTTCATCTGCTTTCTGATCAAAATTTTTCTTCTTTTGATATAGCTAAGAATAATAGAAATAGAAAAATGGGATTTTAAAATTTCATGTTAAGTGTAGATATATTAGGGTGTTTTAACATAACTTTAATATTCAACTTTGTAAAGCTTCATTTTGAAGTTTTGACTCTCTTGGTCAAAAAAGTTTGTCTTTGGGAAAAGATGTTTCATATCTGTAGATGATATTGAAGGCTCACTGTATCTCATGCTGAACTTGCTTCAAATATTATCTTTCTTCACAAAGTTTTAGCATTAATATTGTTTATTGTTGTTTCATATTATTACGCAAATTAAATTCTTGTGTTGGTCAGGCTTGATCATTTTTCCACTCATTTAAAATGCCAGTGAATCACTTGTTTCTGTTATAACTTGTCACAGTAACCAGTCCTAAAAAAGAAATTACGTTATTGATGCTTACTGTGATCTGTAGGATCTTGGGAGTGAGGACTAGTTTTATGCATTTAAAAAGTTAATAATTTGTGAATTTTTTTTTGCTATGATAATCATCTGAACATAAGTTTATTATTTTCTTAGAATTGGGCGATCATTTAAAAGAATATCTTTTCACCATTAAACAAAATCATAATTTAAGAGCATGAGAGGAAAATAAAATAATTTATTTTATTTTAAAAGAAAATGCAAGACAGTGATGTAGTTTGGCAAACTTTGGCTCCATGTTGCATTTTCTCTTTTCTATGCTCATGTATCACTACAAGGAATTTCAAAAACATTTCCTTTTAACTGAATACATACATACACATACACAACCACAGTCTGATTGGTAGTGAACCATCCTTTTAAAATATTCAGATTCTAAAAATTTGTATATACTCACCACTTTACTTTTTTCTTTTATTTGAAAATATTCCTTTTTCCAGCTTTCTTACATTTATAAATGAAAGGTTTTTTTTAAATTAAATCTGTATTATATTTAGAAAAGCAGATCTTCAGAAACAAGCATATGGTAAGAATATAA